CGCCAACCTTGCATCACTCGAGACATTGTAAGAAACCAGATTATTAAGTGTGATTGATGGTCATGTTTCTTTACATTCTTCCTTTCTAATGAATTCTTGGTTCCATTTGTTTTTTACTTTTATTTTTTGGTGCTGCAGAGACTTGAGTAACAACAATATTTACGACTCGATTCCGTATCAGTTGCCACCAAAACTCACAAGCTTGTAATTTTCTGTTTATATTGACTCTCGATTTTTCATGTTAGCTAGCACTTGTTCTCTGAGTAATCAGCTTTCTTATGTTCTTGTTATTTGGTTACAGAAACGTTGCAGGAAACAATTTAAGTGGGAACATTCCTTATTCTTTGTCTAATATGAACGCCCTTAGTTACTTGTAAGTGGCATTTTGCTTTAGCATATTAAGATAACTCTCTCTGTCTTCTGTTCTAAAGGTGGATTGGCGCCTTTTCTGATGCCTTGACCTACTATTCATGTTTTAGGAACATTAGCCGAAACATGTTGTCTCAGTCAGTTGGAGATATGTTTTCCAGCCATTCTGCATTAGCCACCTTGTGACTCTCTCTCTCTCTTATCTCATCTCATCACATCTCTCTCTCTCTCTCTCTCTCTCTCTCTCTCTCTCTCTCTCTCTCTCTCTCTCTCTCTCTCTCTCTCTCTCATCGCATCTCATCACATCTCTCTCTCTCTCTCTCATTTTGCATGCGTGATTAATATTAAGCATTTCAGGGATATATCCTTCAACAATTTTGCTGGGGATCTTCCGCCCTCCTTTATGTCATTGACTAATCTCTCAACCCTGTGAGTTTGACAACCATTACTTGTTCAAGCATTTTATTTGTCTTCATGTTTTTCCCCTTTTCTTTCATTTTCCTCGTTATTGACCTCGTTTATATCTATTTTTGCAGTCTAGTTCAGAACAATCAACTTACAGGTTCTCTCAATGGCCTCGTAGGTTTGCCTCTGACGACTTTGTAAGCATTACCTCCACAGTTGGTTCCTTTAAACTAAACCAAAGATGTGAAAAGGCTAATGATATTAACTGCATCACATATTTATACTCTCACTTGTGCCAAATTCTGCAGAAATGTAGCGAACAACCATTTCAGTGGCTGGATACCACAAGAACTAGTTTCAATCCCGAACTTCATGTAAGTTATAACAGTTTTCACAAGGTGATAAAAAGAAGAATACCTTCATATTCCTGATAATATTGCTTTTTAACAAAACTTCTCACATTTTTTTCCCGTAGACCAGATACAATGGGAATGGATTTTCCAATGGTCCTGCCCCACCTCCCCCACCTTACACTGCTCCTCCTCCAGGTAGATCTCGCAATAACGGGACACAATCTCCTCCTCTTGGCCATAGTCCAAACACCGATATCCCAAGCTATACACACAGCGAGCATAAAAATGGGTTGACAGCAGGAGCTATAGTGGGGATAGCTATTGGGTGTGGAGTTGGAGTGATACTGTTGCTGCTTTTGCTTGTGTTTTGCCTTAGGAAGGGTAACAAGAAGGAAGTTGTGGCACGACTCTCAACAGGAATTCAACCTGCCAGCGTTGGTAATGGTAGCACCTCTTTGTACTTGACGTATCCAAAAGATTCGTAATACATTAATGTGCACTTGCCCTTTTGATGCTCAGCATTGCTTTTTGACTTATCAGACAAATCCTGTATTTGTATTTTGTACTATATCCTCCAGATCAAGAATAGTAATAATATCTTAATTTACAGTTTTGATTGATTTGAATGATGATGGTTATGAGTGTTAGGAATCAACCTGAACTTGACTGATGGTTTGAAGGGTTCAGATTTTGCAAGAGAGGTCTGTATATAGTTTTTGAGGCCTCTCCTAAAAAAGAATATATATCTAGTTTGGAACACACTACTTTCTTTTGTATGGACTCAAGGAATTCGTCATGTTTATTACACGTTGATATGTTTGTTCATTTTTAAGTGGCCATTTTATTCATTCTCATCTCGCTCTCACACTGTGAATTGTTTCTAGTGAGTACTGGGATGCAAGAGCATAGGTCAAAGCCTTCATCCAATGCATCTGACGTAAAACCTCCACCAGCTGAAAGTGTTACAGTTGAAAGGTTACAAGGGAAAAGTGGATCTTTGAGAAGAGCGAAACCTCCACTAACTGCTACTTCCTACACAGTTGCTGCACTTCAAACTGCAACAAATAGCTTTAGCCAAGAGAATCTGGTCGGTGAAGGCTCGCTTGGTCGTGTCTATAGAGCCGAATTCCCCAATGGAAAGGTAAAAAAGGATCTTTTGTTCAATATCATTAAATAACACCTGCTTTAATTTTTGCTCCTAGAACCTGCAATTCCATTGTCTTCTGGTTACGTTTGCAGCTTCTAACCGAGTCTCACCTTTGATATTTTCGTCAGCCCGATTTTATGATGACACGATATCATTACTATTAAGTTGAAAAAAAAAAAGCAATTTTAGGATGAGTTTATCACTTTATCCTCATTATACTTGCAATGTTTTGCTGGATTCAGATTATGGCCATCAAGAAGTCGACAATGCAGCATTGTCACTGCAGGACGAGGATGATTTTCTGAAAGCCGTTTCCAACATGTCACGCCTCAGGCATCCAAATATCGTGGCCCTGGTCGGGTACTGTGCGAGCATGGACAGCGCCTTCTGGTTCATGATTATGTGGGTAATGCCAGCTTGCACGATATGCTTCACTTTGCTGACGAGAGGAGCAGGATGATGACGTGGAACGTGCGGGTCAGGGTGGCACTCGGGACTGCCCGAGCTTTGGAGTAAGTTGAGCGGAATGAGTTTTAAATGTGTAAACAAAACCATAGAACATTTTCATTTCTCCGCATTTATTTGAAACCTTTTTCTTTTTTGTTTTATAAATGTAAGCGGAAGCTACTATATTAGGTCAGGTCAACGACCGACCACCACTCGTCTTTGCCTCGTCATCCGACACTCGCTTAACCTGCATCAATGAAGAGCAGGTGGGAGTGAGCACGGTGAACTGTAGTGCTCACTACTATGCACATGAATAATAATAATAATATACGAGAAATTAAATGGCATGGTCGCAGTATGAACATATTCAATAAATATCCCATCTCCTAACCAAAGTAATTCTCATGTGCACACCTATAACAATAGACTGCTGCTCGTATGCCTTTCGGCGAACATAAATGGGGTGCCCAAACAGCAGGAGGCTCAACCGTCACAGCACGCACTTAGTGCTGAGACAGGATATCCATCACCGGCCAGGGCACGTTGCCAAGGTCTTACAGATGACGTGGTCCTTAACCAAGGACAAACATGGAGATTACCCTTGCAGGGTACGTTCTATAGCTACGGGGATAACCGTTCGACGGCCGGTACAGCTCACATCGAAGATTACATGCTCACATGCATACATTGATCATACCCACATAAATAAAACAATTATCATTCAAGGCATAAATAAATAATAATAAATTTATTAGTATGATATGGTTTACTTGTTATATATAAAACGATGACTCTACTTTGGAGCCAACTGTTGGCTTCATAACAAAATCTATGTATTTTTTGTTCAATTTTTTTTGTCAACTCATGTGTTCATTTAATACCAATTATATATATTTTTTTTACTTGGGCTACTTTATTCAACTTAAATATGCTATAATGTGTTTGATCATTCTACTAATTATATCAATTAGAATTTTATTCCATTGATTTTTTTTTTCTTAAATACACTATATCTTTTAAATTGATTATAATTAATATTGCTCAATGTTGTTGTTTGGACCTTACATATATAGGTATTGTGAATCTCGATTTTTGCACCGGATCAGTTGTTAATGAAAGACAGATAACGATTTTATCAGGAAATTCATGTAATGCTTCAAATCATATGCCCTTCAATGATACAACAAATGGTAATTCAATTATATCTTGGTTTATATATCTCATTATGTATATTTTGATATTTTGTTAGGTACATAAATAAGGGGGCGGTATTTAGTAATAAGGGAGCAGTATTTAGTAATTCAGAATGAAATATTCCTTTCTTGTGCGTGAGGGTTGTCCGGACATTTTTTTTCTGATTTTTTCGGAGGTCGAGGGGTCGGTGAAACCGAGAGTGTAGAGAGAGATTATAGAGAGATGAGATTTTTTTTTTAAGTGATTATGGCAAAATTGTCTTTAAGGGGCGGCAAGTAGTAATAGGAAGCGATGTTTAGTAATTCACATTTATATACAGTCATCAATTACGCAATGACCATCAAGATTCCTGGCTTGTTTACACATATATTTTCTCTCAATAATTTTGCTAGATTCCATTAATAATAAACCAAGCTACTGATTTTTTTTTTTTTTTTACAAAAAATACGCAAAATTGCATATAATATCACGACCTTTATCGAGATTGCAAAATAATGACGGCTTTTTAACTTTTGCATACGATATCACAACCTTCAATTCTTTGCAAGACGGTACATACTTTTCGTCTGCTGCCAACTCACATGCTGATGTGTATTTATCAGAATTTTTTTTCCATCTCATCACTGGAACGACATCGTTTTGTCGGACGTGTTTAAGTTGGGTTTTTTTTTTCCACGTCATCCCCAAACGATGTCGTTTTCGTTTTACCTGTCGATTTAAATAGGAAAAATTGGAATCAATTTTCATTGTGAAACCCTAAAATAATCTCAGTTCTCCGATTCTCTCTGCACTCTGAATACAAAATCTCATCGAATCTCTCTTGTAAATACAAAATCTCATCGAATCTCTCTTGTAATGTAAAAAAATCTCGTTGTGGTCCGCCGACAACTTCATGCTGCGAAAATGGCGAACAAGTAGGATCGTAATTATTTATTTGTCTTCTGTTGTCGCTAACTTAGGTCAATTGTTGTGGAAAATTAGGCGAACAGGTAGGATAGTAATTATTCTGCATTTAGGGTTTAGGGTTTTTTTCACTAGCCCGTAGTTAGGATCTTAATTATTCTGCATTTAGAGGTTAGAGTTTTGTTCTGCAGCCCGTAATTAGGATTTTAATTATTCTGCATTTAGGTTTTAGGGTTTTGTTCAGAGCCCATAATCAGTATTATGTATTGGTTTAATTATGTTTATATGTACTTATACTTGTTTTGCATTAACCTATTTTCTATTTATATTGTTATATATGTAGTGGTGACTTGATGCTTTTTATAAAACACTGTGGGCATTTTCTGAAGATTGGCAATACGTCTGAGTATTATGGATTAGAGGTAACTGAAAGACATGGATTTGACAAAGATAGATTTAGTTATTTTGATTTATTGGAAGAAGTTCAAAAGTTAGGGTACACTAAAGAAGAGAAGTTGTATTATAGGCCTTTTGGCACTAGAAAGTTTGTTCACATGCACAATGATGAGGGTGTCATGGAAATGCTTTCTAAGATGCAACCTGGTAAGCATTTTGTTCAAGTGTATGTTGATTCTGGTTCCACAAATGAAAAAGGAGGTGTGTCATGATAATGAAGGTAGAACTGATGATAAGCAAAAAGGCAAAGCAGATGTGCAACCAAAAGTAGCTAATAAGCAAAAAGGCAAAGCAGCTGTGCAACCAAAAGTAGCTGATAAGCAAAAAGGCAAAGCAGATGTGCAACCAACAGTAGCTCATAAGCAAAAAGGCAGAGCATATCATGTGCAACAAGGAGCTGATAAGAAAAAAGGCAAAGCAAATGGGCAACAAGAAGCTGATAAGCAAAAAGGCAAATCAGATGTGCAATAAGAAGCTGATAAGCAAAAAGGCAAATCAAATGTGCAACAAGAAGCTGATGGTACTATTAGTGAAGAAGATTTGAACCAACTTATTGATAATTTTCATGAGGAAAGCACAGATGAGGAGTATATTCCAGAAGAAGGAAGTTCTGAATCAAATGGATTGAGTGGAGATGAATTAGGAACTGATGATGAAGAATACTTTGAAGCAAGGAGAAAAAGAGTTGCATCCAAAGTTGCAAATGAAGAAATTGAAAACTTTGCATTCTCTTCTGAAAAGGGAAGTGGTGAAAATGAAACTGGCTTCCAGTCTCCGAGGGAAGATTATTCTGATTATGCAGACTCAGAAGAAGAGGTTTATTCTGATTCTTCAAGCTCAGGAGGGTTTAATGGAGATGATGGTGTCAGTCATAGGAAGAACAAGAAAAAAATGATAATTTATGATGCCAAGGTTGACCATAAGCACTTCAAGTTTGAACTTGGTATGCGGTTTGAGTCAGTCACTCAAATTAGGAATGGTATTCAAGAGTATTCCATATATAATGATCACAATATTCAGATATGGCGACAAACCCATAGTCAGAGTGAGGCCAAGTGTATAGAATCATGTCCTTGGAAGTTGTATGCTAGCACTGTAAAGGCAGAAGGGTGCTCTAGGGACATGAGAACCAAACAAGCATCTTCAAAATGGATTGCTAAGGAATACCTTCAGACATTCAGGAGAAAACCAAAAATGAAGATTTGAGACTTTGAAGAGTTGATACTTGAGAAGTATGTTGTGCAACCATCTAAATGGAAGCTTTACAGAGGCAAGTACAAAGCACTACAAATGTTGAGAGGCACAGAAGAGGAGCATTACTCATGTCTGAGGAGTTATGTTGCTGAGCTACTCAGAGTAGACAGAGAGGGTCAGTTTGAATATCTACTTGATGAAGGGACTGTGTTCAAGGACTTTTTTGTGGGATTTAGTGCATTAAAAAAAGGGTTTTTAAGAGGGTGCAGACCAATAGTTGGGTTAGATGGAGCTTTCTTGAAGACTGTGATTGGAGGGTGTTTGTTGACTGCTGTGGGGAAGGATGCAAACAACCAGATTTATCCCATTGCATGGGCAGTGGTGGATTCTGAAAATGAGGCAAATTGGAAGTGGTTCTTGAATATTTTGTTTGAAGAGTTTGGCATCAGAGATGGAATGGGTTGGACCTTTATTAGACCAACAGAAGGTAACTAATCTACTTAATATATTTTTCCTTCATCAAATAGTTTGTGGATAATGTTATATAACTTTTAACTTTTACCTTGTTCAAATGGATTGTAGAGACTGATTAATACAGTAAAAGATTTGGGGCCATTGGCAGAGCATAGGAATTGTGCTAGACACATTTATATGAACTGAAAGAAAGAACACAAGGGTCAAACACTGAAAAACATGTTCTGGAGGACTGTCCATTGCACATCCCTTGCAGCCTATAAGGAATCACTGGAGGAGATGAAAGCTGAGTGTCCAGAAGCACACAACAAGTTCTTGGAGCAAGACAACTTCAGATTTTGTAAGGCCTTAATTTCAGTGCATCCTAAATGTGACATGGTGCTAAATAATGTATGTGAGACCTTCAATCGCACTATTGTTAGGGCTGGGAAAAAGCCTATTGTTGAAATGCTTGAAATGATAAGAACATATGTGATGGAAAGACAAGTTGAAAAATTGAACATGGGAAGTGGTCTCACTGACTCAATTTGCCCTAGGATCAGGAAAAAACTAGAGGAAACTAAGTACAAAAGTAGATTGTGTGTCACCAAACCTGCTCTAGGAAACAAATATCAGGTCACTTGTTTTGAAGACTAATTTGTTGTTGATTTGGGAGATATGAGTTGTACATATAGGCAATGTGACATAAATGGTATACCTTGTGTCCATACATGCTCAGCTATTCACTGGTTGAAAAAAGATACCACAGATTTTATTCCCATGTATATAGTTGTGAAAGGCTCATTGCATCATACTCATTCCCCATGGAGCCCCTTAATGAGAAGAGGATGTGGTCAGAGGCTTCAGGG